TGTCAGTGAGAAAGGAGGGGGGCAATGATATAAGACAGACACATCAGTATTTATTAAAATAAGGTAAATAAAAATGGATTTTTCAATTCCTGTATCAGAGACAGGCAGTAGATCATAAAGACAGAAAGAGGGTCAGGCGGGCTTGGAGAAGGACATTCCGAGTGGCCCAGAAAATATTCCAGGCAGCCGAGTCTCCGCAGGTACTTTTCTTTTCCTGATTACTCTTCTGTTGTCTGGAAATAGCCTAGTTTCTATGCTCCATGCCCCTAGGATATGTCCAGATATTTGGAGGCCTCCTATAGGCAGGTGTCTAAGTCTATGACCAAAGTAGACTGCATGCATTATGCCCATACAAAGGAACTGACCTATAAAGTGTCTGCAGAAGAAGCCTTATTATTAGTTGATACCTTCACATTATGATGTTGACCCATATTTGGGTTGATGTAAGGAAAAGGTCCTTCAAAGTCAACAATAATTTTATAAGCAAGAAATTGATTTCTCCCACCCCCAGCCCCCAGCCATGAACCCATCACCATTTCTGTGCTACCTGAGGTTCAGGCATAGATTAAAACCCCTGCTGGCTGTGAGTTTGGGTCTGTGTTGACCTTGGGGATTTTATTGCCCCCCTTAAAGGCCATTCTGATTGCTTGGCTTCACAGTTCATCATCTTGTTACCTTAAGAGAATCCTAAGAGCTGGCTCATTTCCTCCCTTAACTCTTTGCATAAAGTTTAATGGATGTGCGATCTTTTTGCTTTTCTTTTTTTCTGTGTCTGAAAGGTTGTGATAACAAAAATAAGAATGGCTACAAGCTTTTGTGAAGGTAATTATTTTAAATGAGTAAAGAAGACCAAGTACCTGAGAAGAGAATGGCTCAGGAATTGGAAAGAAAGCATAATGCTCTGCTACAGTTGGTTGATATTTGGCTCTTTTATTTTTCTCCTGAGAAACATAAGAGCTATTGAGCTCAGAGGACATGAACATTCTGCACAGGAAATAGACGGTGTGTGGAGGAGGCGAAGGGGGCACGCAGCAGTCATTCTCTGAATCCTTCAGTGAGCTTCCCTTGACTATGTCTGAGAAGCAAGGAGGGCTGGAAAACAGAGGCTCTGCTTGGATGGCTTCCAATACACTTCGCAAAGCTCAGGAAAAGCTCAGCTAAGCCACATGCTTTTTATGTTTTCCCGAGGAAAGACTTTGCTTGTTGGTCTCAGGGTTAAGGAGTCTCAGCAAGTTTTTATAGAGACACTAAAACATTCTCTTAGTATTTTCCTCTGTCATGGAAAGGAGCCCAGGGAATAAAATCACACTTAGTGCCTGCTAGGCTTGTTGGCTCAGGGGAGAGATGGTGGGGCAGTTACTATATTGTGGGACACCCTTAGTTTCACTAGGTGTATCAAAATGTGTGTGTATGTGTGTGTGTGTGTGTGTGTGTGTGTGTATAAAAGTACAAAACCCTGAAATGCACACATCTACTCTTCTGAGTTCAGTTTCTTCAAGTTTCAGCTAAGATTGTGTGTGTACACACACACACACACACACACACACACACACACACACACACGACAGAATGAATACCACGTTCATCTTTATCTGGAGGACCGGGTAAACACCATGTAAATTGTGAGGTATGGAGAGACGCAGAAGTGAGGGCAGGTGTCAACAGCCTCAAATCTGCCAAGAGCTTCCCCCCTCAAAACATGTTTCAAAGCAAAAACTAAAGCATTTACTGTTTCTTTGTGAGAATGATTTGGGATGTTCATTGCAGCAAAAAGGCCATTTATGAACCAACTTTGGCCTTGCTTTGTCCTGTCATAGTCACTGTGTTTATTTCAGAACCTGAGATTTACACTGACTGAATATTAAGAGAGAATAAAACCTGGAGTCATTGGAATTTGCACTTGCCAGTACAATTTTCCATTATCTGCTCAACTTAAATTGTTTCTCTCCTAGAAAAAAACGTCATTTTAGCTTTCTCACGCGCCTCCATAGAAGGCTTACTGCTATTTTAAAGAGTTTACCTTTCTCACAAACTTGTGATTTTCTCATTCATAATTAATGCTTTCCTATATTGACAGAAATAGGAAATTTTAGCCATAAAAAGTATATATAATTATGCTAAACAGAGACACTGGAATATTGTTAGTATCAAGATATTGTTAGTATCTAACCATGTTCCTAGGTTTAGAATATTATGTGTTTCTTTTTTCCTCCAGTGTTTCACTTCTATTCTAGTAGAACTGGAAACCAGACTTGTTTGGGTTTTGTTTCTTTGGTCGTCTGATTTTAATTTATAATTAAGTTAAGAATCAACTGGTCAAATAAGTGAAGATGGAGGTAAATAACGCAATTATCCTTATGCTAATGAGAACATCTGCAAAGTTTTTAAAATACTTTTAAGAGAAATATTTAATTAGAATTGTCACTTAATAGTTTGCAAGAAAAAATGTGGCCACTTATTTTTTTAATTTTCTAACTAGAAAGAGCATATAAAGTATTGAGCACTTGATTCAGGATAGTATGATGCAGGATGCTGAAACAGTAAGTCCATGCTGTTTGGGAACTACCCCACTGCATGCAAAAATACAAATCAGTTACTTGACTGCAGTAAGTCAAAGTAGTTCTGCTTCAGCCTGATAAAGCAGCGCCACCTACTGCACAGAAGCTGTATTTTATGTTTGGAAGTTAGTAGAAACTGATCTCTAGCAGAGCTAAGCACAGAACAAAATCAGTTTTCAGTCTGTTATCATCTAAAATCTACATCTGTTAATTTATTGAAGTTTTTTCTAGTGCTTTCCTGTGTCTGTTAGTCTGCCCATTCATATGGAGAACAACAAATAAGAAAGTGAGAAAGAGAACAGGAGATAAACAATACAAATAAGAAAAAAAAGGAATATAGGAAATTCATTCTTGGTATCTACTGATGTATCTTTTACTATGAAAAAAAATCAGTGTACCTCCATTTTCCCTTTTACACATGACAGAAACGTAAGAATCAGCAGTTAACTGATGCTTGTTTAAATTGAACCATTGTTCACATTTTATTCTAGGCTGCCTATAAGTTTGTCCAATATTAGATGATTATGCATTAATAGGCCTCTTTGACATTCTTTTTCTCTATGTTTTTATCCTTAAAATAGCACTTAAGTCTACAATATTTTTAAATAACAGTTTCTAACATTCTTATATATTTTACATTATAGCATCACATAGGCATTTCGTAGAATATTAACATGAGCATATCTTTTTATTATGTTGGGGCCATTAATTATCCTTTCAAGCCTTTCAGTTTATTTCATCTAGTCTATTATACCACAACATAAAATAAATAAGTGATAGTAGACACGGTACAGTAATGATTATGATTCTTTTTATTGTTCTCTGTCACTCTTTCAAGGTCTTAACTGGTTATTTACCACTTACATTACTCACAATAATGCTTGCACTCTCATGATGAGGAGATTGTATCATTTCAGTTCCTGCTTTATAATTAATTTCGCAGCATGCACTCATTCATATTAAATTGTATTTGTCCATTAACTTATTTATATATTAAGGGAATGTCACACAGTCAAGAATTTATGACATTTAACATTTGCCAGGGCTTTGATCTCCAAATTAACTGAAATAGAACATAAATTGTTTCTATATCATACCAAAGTCATAATTGTGTAATTGATGCATGTTAGAAATCTAGACACACAAATAGCACAAATGGTCTCAATTTTGCATTCTCATTTGAAGAATAACTATTTGAATCCCAAATACTGCCCCAAACTTGACTTGCTCATACCTGGCTATATCTTTTTAAAACTTTGTTATGTTTATTGTAATTTTTCTCATTCAATTAAAACTTATTGAGTATTTACTATATGCGAGGCACTATGCTAAGTTCTAGGGATTCAGTGATTAAAAAATAAATTCCTTGCCCTCAGTGAGTTGTCTTTCTTGCAGAGAAAAACGATGAGTAGTGTGTGAGTAGTCCTGGAACAGTAAGGACAGGAAGCTATGGGCACAAAAGAAGTCAGCTCAACCCAAACTTCAGGGAACAGGGAAGGGGAGTGGGCGGGGGGGAGTGAAGAAAGACTTCCTGGAGAAGAGAAATCCTGAATTGAGTTTGCAGAGGAGATAAAGGGGTTGTCAGGAAGGAAAGTAGAAATAGAGTGTTCTAGGAGAGGAGATAGGATTTGCAAAGACATTGGGATGAGAAAACAGGATAGGTTTAAGGAAATATATATTGCTCACTTCACCTGAGACTGAAGACAGCAAATAAAGTTCTGAAAGATGAGATTAGACAAATACGCAAAGTTTAGATAACGGAGAATCTTTCATTAGTTTGAACTTTATTCTGAATGCTTTAATGCTTTTTTGTTGTTGTTTTCAAAGTATTTTAAGAAGTGAGAAGTGAGTGATAGAATCAGATACAAACTGATTAGGAATCTTTTTGGCAACACTGTTGAGAAGGGAGTTCAGTAGAGTGTGACCGGAGGAAGGGAGATGGGTTAGGGAGTAGTCCTGAAAGTGATCCAAGGGAAAGCAATAAACCACAACGTGCAGGGACAAGGAGATGATGCGTGCTGATGGACTATTACAGTAGTAGAACTAATTTAATGAGGATTTTTACATGTATGTTCAGAGAAATTTGTGTGAAAATTGCAGAAGAGGAAGTCCAGTAAAACTTCTGTTTCCAGTATGAGAAAAGTTTGGTAGCACAACTCACTAACATACAGGCAGTGCACAGGTTAAAGATGAGCAGAGAAGAGAGGCGATCTGCTGCAAATATGTTAAATGCATCCACGTGGAGAGATCCGATGGGTGGCTGCTTATAGACATGGCAGAGTTCAGGGGAGATAATTAAAGACCTTCAAGTCTAATCTTTGTGACTCCTTAAGAATATGTCTGACTTCACTGAAAAGTTTAAAATAAGTTGGAAGTTGGTTCTGCATTATATTCCAAGATCTTCCTTCATCTATTGCACTGTTCTTACACCCCCTCCCCCAGAGGACTGGTATGAACAGTTGTATCCCCTCATCCTTACCCTGAAGGACTGCATGGGAGAAGTGGTGAACCGAGCCAAGCAGTCCCTGACGTTTGTGCTCCTTCAGGAACTTGCATACAGCTTGCCCCAGTGTCTGATGCTGACGCTAAGAAGAGACATCGTCTTCAGTCAAGCAGTAGGTGCCTGTTGTTATTGTTAGTACAGAACAGTGCCGAAGTGTTAACATTCTGTCCTTGATGATGATAGAATTCTGATTTGGACCGTTTTATTTTTAAAAAGATCTTTAAAGTTTTTATACCTCATTTTTCCAATTCATGATAAATATCAGCTGAATATCCAAAGCAAAGAGTTTATGAGACCTTAAATATTTATTTCTGAAAAGAGATGGTCAAGTCTCCAAAATATAAATTCTGCTTGATGGGGTATGAAGTCTGTGAAGGAAGTGGTCGCCATCTTTGTATTATTCATGGGGGTCTACATACAGTGTAAGGGAGGGGATTGTTGCCTTGCACTGCAGGTGACAAGCTAGGACTTGGCAAGGGGTCTGTTGGCGGCCCCTTATTTGGACAGCTCCCCCATGACTCCTGGGAAAGGGTTTCACAATGATCTCTTATTTTGTTTTTAAAATAAGTTTTCAGGGCAGTAAGGCTTGAATGGGAGTTTGACAGGGCCACCTTCTTTGTCTACACTCAACATGATTCATAATGCCAAGGCCTGCCTCCATCAAAGTGGCTGTGCTGGTGCCTTCCTTTGCCCCAACTCCCTCCATCCCCATAAAAAAGAAAAAGAAGACTTTTCTTTCCTAACATTCTAGGAAAAGGAAATGTTTTAGCTGAACTATCCCTTTCTCCCATTATTTCACGAAAGGTCCAGTGGCATGTGGTGCTAACCAGGTATGGGAAACATGCTCTGCCCTATACATACGTGTTTCATCATGGTGTTCTTTTAGTGGCCTGTGAAATGGTTACTGCCATCTCTATTCTACATATACAGAAAATGATAAAAATTTGCAAGTGTTTGTGTTTATGGTTTTACTGTTAAAAATGGTAAACAAGATTTGAAGACCCATCAGTCAACCTGACTCCTGTCCATATTCTTTCTCCCTTTGCCCTTCTACCTTCCCCAAGACTTTTATCCACAGCAATCCTACATCAGAGACTGTCAGCTTGTTTAATATGTCTACCAAATGGATGTAGTTTTGTTACACATACCTGAGAATTGAATCTGTGATGCCTCAGAAGTCTTAAATATTTCAAAATAAAATGAATACATTTGCTAACTGCAGTAAATCTTATCAATATTTTGTTTTCAGCTTGCTGGATTGGTTTGTGGTTTTATCATCAAATTACAGACAAGTCTGTATGACCCAGGCTTCCTACAGCAGCTTCACACAGTGGGGTTGATAGTACAATATGAAGGACTGCTAAGTACATACAGTGAGTATTGCTTTAGTACCAGTTAAAATCACATTTCTGTTCATAAGGATATTTAATTCATAAATTTTTCAGGAAAACATAAAAATAAGAGGTAAACTTTTATTGCACCAAGTATTACAAAAATAATGTAACTTTCAATTTTTTGCATTCACCTTGTGACTTACTTTTGCCTCCCATTACATTTTGAAAATGGAATTATAGATTACTTCGGAGTGGACTCCTGAGAAGCTATCTGGCTTTTTTAATATAAAAGCCTCTGTGCCAACATAGTTTGAATGACTAGATTTTTAAAGTCTCAACTCTGTAATGTCTAGAACTGCACTGTTCAATATAGTAGCCTCGTGTGCTTCATGTGACTGTTGAGCACTTGAGATGTGTCTGGTCCAAATCAATATGTACTAGATATGCCTACCAGGTTTCAAAAACTAGTTTTAAAATTATTTTATATTAATAATTAATCATTTTATATTTACAATGGAAATGGTATGTTGGATACACTGGATTAAGTAGAATATATTATTAAAATTAATTCTACCTTTTTAATTTCACTCTTTTAAAAAATGACTACCGGGAAGCTTAAAATTACATATGTGGCTCACATACTTCTGTTAAGACTGCCCATCTAGAATAGTAATGATCTCCTTCTCAGGCTTCATTGGTTAATGTATGGAGATACAAAACTAGCATGAACCTGGGTCAGTGATTATCAGTTCAGTTACTTCTGTTATTTCTAGACAACAAATATCAGTCTCGACAATGGAAAGAAAGGTGCACAAATTGTCAAGGGGTGAAAACCTCTCTCCGGCCTCACAGCAAATGTCCACATGCTTTCTTCCTTCAAAGAGTAGATTGACTTCTGAAGTCCATTGAAATGGTTCTCATTTCACTAAGGAAAACCTTCAGCCTCTGAGGAAAAGTGTCTAGAGTAGGTTCACTGCATTCAGAAACTCATACACTAAAATGCTAGAACAAATATCAGCAGGGAGGCCTAGTCGTCAGTGACATTTTCCTCCAATGTTTGTTTGTAACTAAGTGCCTTTTCCATTGTTTAGGCGATGAAATTGGAATGCTAGAGGACATGGCTGTTGGCATTTCCGATTTAAAGAAAGTCGCGTTTAAAATAATTGAAGCCAAATCCAGTGATGTGTTGCCAGTTATAACAGGAAGACGGTAAGCAGTGCTCACTTCCTAGAGACCAGGCTGTGTTAGACACGTCATATTAACTCCTGTCAGAGGAGGCAGGGGATTCAGGTTTGATTTGGGAATTTTTCGTCTGCTTTCTTTTCCTTTTTGTTAAGAAATAAACATGGGTGATATGATAGGGGACAATTTAGAAAAACTCCTGGTCATTTCATGAATGTTTTAAATTGTAGTGAAGTGAGTATGGCAGTTCTTGCCCACAAAATACTAGAAATTCAGAGTAATAGCCTGCCTGAGAACACTTTTCTCCTTATTACTATCTCATCCAAAGCTCTGGGTGTTTTTACTTTTGTGGGATTTGTTCAGTTAATAGAGTCATAATTCTTGAAATGACTTTAAATTCCGTTAAAAGCAGCAACATTTTAGAAAAGATATATTTCTGTGTCAGGGGAATATACCACCATTTTTCTTAATTATTTTTGACTAGTCACTCTCAGACTGTGAGATTTCCGAGAAGGGCTTTCAATAAATAGCCTCAAAGGTCAGTGGATGAGAGGAAAAAATCAGAAATAATTAAGAAAAATGATAGTGTGTAGAACAGACCTCCAACAGAAGAGGTACATCCTATAGTAAGTTGTCTCAATCAGGAGAACTAACCATTCTGGCGTTGTTAGTGCTTTTAATTGCTGCATGATGATATTTAAAATTTGAAACATTTTCAGGTCAGGTTCAAAACATGAATATATGAGAGGGAGAACCCTTTTCATGCTAGAGAGAGATGCTAAAGAGACTAAGTATAAAAGTTCAAAGTAAACTTGTTTTCCTGTTGATAGTAAACATAAAATAATTATTATAAATTTTGTGGTGAAGGATGCCCCGAAACACATGGTTGACTGAGAAGTGACTTTCTTACACACACAAAAAAAAACCCACATTTCGGAGTCGAACAATGAGAACACATGGACACAGGGAGGGGAATGTCACACACACAGGGGCCTGTTGGAGGGTGAGGGGTTAGGAGAGGGATAGCATTAGGAGAAATACCTATTGTAGGTGATGGGGTGATGGACGCAGTGAACCACCATGACACGCGTATAACTATGTAACGTGCACATTCTGCACATGTACCTCAGAACTTAAAGTATAATTTTTAAAAACCCACATCCTCAGAAACTAAATATTTACCTAGAATTAGTACTTAACTTGCCATTCACTGGGAGAAAAAGAATAAAATTGCTCATGTACACACCTGAAAAACAGTACAATTCTATTTTTCTCTGAAGTTTATTATTAAAAGTAAAATGCTTTTATATATTTATATCCCAAAGTTTAAGGAAAGCTTACCAGGCCATTCGCTGTAGGCAGAGTGCAGCATGCTTTTTCTGAGGAAGTTCTTCAAGCAGTACCAAAATTCAAAAGTGATCATACAGGTAGGGACGTGACTCCTAGAATGATGATGTGAGCAGCTTAGCGCACCCTGTCTCCAAAAGCAATATTACAACTGGAAATAATCTGAAACAACCATTTTAGGACAAATAGAATAAATTGGATGCACACCACAAATTCAGAAGTACTTGTTTGTGAAAAACTAGTGAACATTGGGCGACATCAGTTACAGTGTGTGGCATTTTGCTGAGGACTGCTCCCATCAACCCTGGCCCTGTGAACACAGCTTTCCTAGGGCAAGGCCATTAATACCAGCAGCTTCGCTGCTAGAAGGACTCATTTGACTTGGATTGGAGTAGGAAATAGCACAATCCTGCAGGTTGTCAGAAACAGTGGTGGTTTAGATTAATGAGTCTAAATCACCATCACACACACACACACACAAAAGAATAGATATAAATTTAACAAAGTTAGTCTGAATGTGGTACACAGAACACATGAAATATTGCTGAGAGAAATTAATAGAATCCAACAAATGGAGAGACAGCCTGTGTTCATGGATTAGAGGACTCAATATTGTTTAAATAGTAATTCTTCATATTTGATCTATAGATCTATTGCAATCACTATCTAAATCTCAGTAGTTTTTTTGCAGAAATTGGCAAGCCTAACCTAAAATTTATATGTAAATGCAAAGGACCCAGACATTTTGTAAAAGAAGAAGAAAGTGGAAAACTTATATACTTTCTGACTTCACAAATTACTACAAAGCTATAATAATCAAGACAGTGTAGTATTAGCATAGGAATATAGATGTAGATTAATATAACAAAATTTATTGCCCAGAAATAAATTATTATCCTTAAAATCAATTGATTTTCACCAGAGATCCCAAGGTAATTCATTGGAGACTAGAGAGTCTTTTCATAAAACGATGCTGGAACAATTGGTTTATCTATATGTAAAGAGAAGAATTTACACATATACAAAAACTAGCTCACAATACATTATAGGTCTAAATGTAAGCACTGAAACTCGAAATCTAGAAGAAAACTCAGGAGAAAATATTTGTAAGTTGTGTTTAGGTAATGAGTTCTTAGACATAATTTAAAAATCAAGACCCATAAAAGAAGGAAATAGATAAATAGGACTTCATCAAAATTATATAAACATTTAAGCATCAAAAAATACCATTAAGTAAATGAAAAGACAAGCCACAAATTAGAAGATAATATTTACAAATCACATATTTGAAAAAGTACTCATATTCAGAATATGTAAATAAATGTTACAACTCAATAATAATGACACCAAAAACCGAATTTAAATATGAGCAAAAAGTTTGAATAGCCATTTCACCAAAAAGGATATATGAATGATTTATAAGTACAAGAAAGCATACTCAACCTAATTTGTCATTAGAAGAATAAATTTAAAATCACAGATACCAGTTCACTCACACTAGAATCATCAGATAAGAGCAAATGTTGGTAAGAATGTGGAAAACTTGGAACCCTTGTACATTGCTGGTGGAAATGTCACTTTCAAAACAGTTTGGCAGTCTTAAAAAGTTAAATATAAAATTACCATATGACTCTTAGACATATACCCAAGAGAAAATGAAACATAGTTTCACACTATGGCTCATTCCCACATGTTCATAGCAGCATTATTAATTAATACCCCAAATCATGCAGTAATCCAAGTATCCACATCAGCTAATAAATATGTAGACAAAAATGTGGTATCTATACAATAGAATGCTATTCACTAATAAGAAGGAACAAGCTACTAATACGTGGCACAACATGGATGACTCCAAAAACATTATGCTAGGTGAATAAGGCCTGACAGAAAAGATTACATACTGTATGAGTCAATACATGGGATGTATGCAGAAAAATAAAATTCATTCATAGGAAATAGAGAGAAAACAGGTGAGGTGAGTGGCTTTCTGGGCTGGCAGTGATAGTACAGTTGACTATAAACAGGCACACAGAATCTTTTTAAGTTGATGGAAATGTACTAAACCTGGATTATTGTCATGATTGTGAAATTCTTTAAATTTGCTAAAAGTATGAATTATATACTTAAAATGAATGAGTTCATATCAATTATTTCATAATAAAGCTGGTAAAATTATCACAAAGAAATTATATTTCACCTTTGGAAAAAGTTTAAAACATGAACTGACTCGTTGATGCTTCTCATATTCCTGAAAGACTGTTAACCAGCCTATTGTAAATGGCATTGAGAGCAATTAAGCAAAGAAAAATAATGTGCTCGTTCATCTGAAGGTAATGCTAACATCCCTGCTTGCTAAATTCTTGGTATTTACCAGGTCTCTATTTCATAGCTAGGAAGAAACAAGTCTCAGGGTCAGTGGTCCATACTGTTTATCAGTAATGTTCTACTAGGAGAAATTAAAAAGATTTTCACAAAGAGGCTCACTGTTTGCTCTATGCTTATTTCTCCAATGCATATTTTACAATCCCACCACTCTAAATAGCTCCTGAAACACATGGATTTTCCCAACCTCTGGGCAAAAGTTTCTAAATTTCTATATTCAATTCACACTGTATCAGAAGATGTCAATTTTAAAAATATATAAGTAGCTGCTCTTATTAATCATATTCCAGGGACAGGGATGAGGCTGGAAACCATCATTCTCAACCAACTAACACAAGAACAGAAAACCAAACACTGCCTGTTTTCATTCATAAATGAGTGATGAACAATGAGAACACATGCACACAGGGAGGGGAACAGCACACACCAGTGACTGTCGGGGTGTGGGGGGCTAGGGGAGGGATAGCAGGGGTTGGGGAGATAGGGGAGGGATAGCATTAGGAGAAATACCTAATGTAGATGAGGGGGTGATGGGGATGCAGCCGACCACCATGGCACATGTATATCTATGTAACAAACCTGCATGTTCTGTACATGTACCCCAGAACTTAAAATACAATTTAAAAATTTTTTTCAACATTAAAAAAATAGGGGTAGTTTTTAATGGACATTTCCAATGAAAAATGCTCTTGTGATATGTTAATGTTTCAAAATGACCAGAATTCCCAAAAGTTACACTCTAAGCAATAAAACCATTACTTTTCCGTCAGCCCATCATAAACAGAAACACTCATCGAGAGTAATAACAATCAGGTCATACCAAAAACTTATACAAATGATTTGAATTATTTAGCTTTACTTTATTGAAACAGCAGTCATTAAATTAGTGTTCTTATTCTTAGGATTTATTGAGTTTTAAAAATAATTTAAAAAAATTTATGCTATCGATGCACATGACCCTGAGTATGCAAAAATGACCTAAACATTTCTTTCCTAAAGGAATTCAGAGTGAGGTAGAGAAATCATACATGTAAATGAATTCTAACAATTTTTCATGTCAAGTAAGTTAGTAAGGAGAAGAATGAATGAGGAATATAAGTATATAGCAAACAGAAACCTAAATCAGTGCTATATTCCAACCCTTTTATTGTTTTCTTCCAATGAATCTAAAATAACATAAAACAAATAAGTAAGGCTTCTTCCCTTTGTCCTGTGCCTTCTTTAGAGAACATTACGTGGTAGAGGTCAGGCTTCCAGGCAGAATGTTTGAGTCGCTCCCTCCACAGATTAAAGAAGGACAGTTGCTTCATGTGTATCCAGTACTCTTTAACGTTGGAATCAATGAACAGCAAACTCTGGCTGAGAGGTAAGCTTTGGTGTAAGAGTGGGACTTGAGTTTTTTTCTTTTTTCCTTTTAAGTATATGATGAGAAGTCCGACATGTTTCTGCATATAAAAACTAACTCGATTTATAGGTAACATTTTCCTTTTTATCAATACCAAATTATTTGACATAGAAGGTAAATTTTCATATTTAAGGAATCCTGGCCCAAATCAAATTTAAATATGTCAAAAACATTGAGGAAAATCTTGATGCTAATAATAAATAAAGCATTCGCATGGATTAACCTTCTTTGTTTACAAACACCTATGTGTATATTAAAGTTCGGAATTTATGTTGATACATACCTCAATATTGTAAACAGCTAATAGTGTCAATATTTTTATCTAAAACAGAATAATCATCTTTTATTGTGTTTATTATAATGGTTATTATTTGGTAATGTTAACTTTTTTTTTTTTATAGTGACTTGCTGAGCCAACAAATGATTGTTCTACTGATCCCATGAGTCACTGTTTAAAAACAGTTTTTTTGTTTGTTTGTTTCTGTTTTTTTCTTTTGGCTGGGCATTGTGGCTTACACCTGTAATCCCAGCACTTTGGGAGGCCAAGGCAGGAGGATCACCTGAGGTCAGGAGTTCGAGACCAGCCTTGCCAACATGGTGAAACCTTATTTCTATTACAAATACAAAAATTATCTGGGCATGGTGGCAGGTGCCTGTAATCCCAGCTATTACTCAGGAGGCTGAGGCAGAAGAATTGCTTGAACCTGGGAGGCAGAAGTTGTGGTGAGCCTAGATTGTGCCACTGCACTTCAGTCTGGGTGACAGAGTGAGACTCTGTCTCAAAACGAAACAAACAAACAAAAAAACACACAAATTATTTGTTTAAAATACTTATTTTTACATCTTACATGGTTCACATATAGAGATTACAGAATATATAGATAACAGTTAAAGATCATAGAACAGGCCAGGTGCAGTGGCTCACATCTGTAATCCTAGCACTTTGGGAGGCTGAGGAGGGTGGATCACCTGAGATCAGGAGTTCAAGACCAGCCTGGTCAACATAGTAAAACTCCGTCTCTACTAAAAATACAAAAATAAAAATTAGCTGGGCATATTGGTGGGTGTCTGTAATCCCAGCTATTCAGGTGGCTAACGAAGGAAAATTGCTTGAACCCCGGGAGGTGGAGGTTGCATTGAGCCTGAGATTAAATCATTTTCTCCAGACCGGGCAACACTAGCAAAACTGTCTCAAAAACAAAGAAAAAAGAATAATAGAACATACTTTGGAAATATTTTGGAGACAGAAGTTATTATCTTGGCTGTTGGGGCTGGCTGGAGAAGCTTCTTCACAGGCAACAATTTGGGGAGTTAGACGTTCTTTGATATTGTAATATTTAATAAGCTTTCTTGTCTATAATCCACTCTCCAAGTGACCCCTGCCCCATAGGTAAGTTTAAAAGTGCTTTGCATACTCATTGCCTTGATAATAAAGCACTTTCGAAAGCTAGTGTCTAGGATCAGATTATATTCTATTTGTCTCTATATATTTGTTTCTCAGCAAACTCAGTGTTTGAGATGACTGATATTCCTGAGCATAAACTGTACCACGTGGAGAAGGGGAGCAGCACTGTAAAATCTCTCTTCTTTGGTACGCTAGAGTAGAACGTTTTGGATTGGAATTAATAAAGCCTGTGATTGTGATCTTGAGAGAGAGATGAGCCTCTTCCATAGACAGACTTTTCAAAGACTAGTCAGCATTATATTGTTAAGGCTTCTAAACTGGACTAATTTGTTTCATTCAGTCATTGTGACTGTTCTAGTGGTCAGTCATTTTATTTAAGAGGTGTCCTTTCCTTCTCATCTCTCTTGCATGCTAAGAGTGCACTTTTTTCACACATGGAAGCTGAACAAGACTCACAATACTGGTAAAGAAGGCAAAATGGCAAAGTAGGGAAAAAGCTGAGAGAAGCGGAAGGCCTGAATTTGCATAGCACTCTGACATCAACCAACTGCTAATTTGAGCAAATCGCTTTCTCTCCGCTCTCTGAACCTCCTTTTCGTGATTCTGAATTTTGGGCATTATAAGGCAACATCTACATGTTAGATATGCTATGTAATCTAGGAGTAATATTTTACTACTGTTTACTCGAAACCAAAATGTAGATGTTGTATATGACCGTTCTTAGATAAATAAATACCACTGGTCTGCTTGGGCTGCTGTAATAAACTACTATAGACTGGGTGGCTTAAACAACAGAAATTTGCTTCTCATAGTTCAGGAGGCTGGGATGTCCACGGTCAAGGCTCTAGCCAATCTGATTGCTGATGAGGGCTCTTCTGGCTGTCAGACGACTGACCACATTGCTCCCTGTCTGTTCACACAACCCCTTCTTTGTGTTTGTGGAAAAGAGAGAGCCCACCCTCATGATCTCATTTAACTTTAATTACCCCTTAGAGGCCTTATCTCTAAATACTGCCATTTTGGGGGTTAGGGCTTCCACATATGAATTTTAGGACAACACAAACATTTACTTCATAACACTATTATTCCAGTAAGGATGGTTTATTTAATTTAATTAATTAATTAATTTATTTATTTATTTATTTTGAGACAAAGTCTCTCTATGTCGACAGGCTAGAGTGCAGTGGTATGATCTCAGCTCGCTGCAACCTCTGCCTCCCTACTTCAAGTGATTCTCCTGCCGCAGCCTCCTGGGTAGCTGGGCATGCCGGTAATTTTTGTATTTTTAGTAGAGATGGATTTCACCATTTTGGCCAGGATGGTCTCGATCTCTTGACATGCGTGATCTGCCTGCCTTGGCCTCCCAAAGTCCTGGGATTTCAGATTTGAGCCACTGTGCCTGATGAAGGATGGTATTTTTTAAATACCAGTTGATTGTAGTGTCTGAAAAACTTAGAAGGGTAGCTTTCAGATTCTATGGAAACTCCTCTAGATTTTGAGGGTCTGTATCCCTGTTCTCCAAGTTCAACTCTATAGATAGTAAACACTGACTTTATATCAGGCACTGCTCTTCAGAAGCTATGGGACATAAGGAGAATAAAAGGTAACAAGAAGCATGGAATCTGATTCCTGTCCTGAAAGAATGTATAATCCAGTGAGGAAGACAAGTCAACAAACATTACATTACAGTTTGACTGATGCAATAATTAAAGGTGTGGAAGGGACAGGAATAGTGCATAAAAGAAAGTGATTCACAGATGGGAGATGAGTCCATGCGGGAAGTATCAAAGAAGAGATGAGCCAGGCTTTAAAAGATGAATCAGAATTAATCAAGCCATCAAGAAAAGTAAGACATTCCAGTCAAGAGTGGATAGCATGTGAAAAGTCCCAAAGGCATTGAAACATTGCTGCTAAGTGAGGACAGTGTAACTACATTCCTACAAGAGGCTTTGGAAGACGTTGTGGAAAGTTAGATGCTAAACTAAGGGGATTATAAGACATCATTCCTTTCAGGGAGGAGAGAAGAATTGAAGTTCAGTGAACTGATAGGATGAAAAGTATGTTAGACTAATTTTTCCAGCATTTCATTTATTGCATGGTGCAATGTCTGGTACATAGTTGATACTAAATATTTTTTGTATAAGTGAATTCACTTTTCATTCAGACTGAATGATCTGACCAGGGTCCAAAAGATAAATTGGACGTGAAAGAGACTAGAGACCTAGTTCTGTGGTATTTGGAAAGCTTTAGGAGAGTTCAGACTGGATATAATTAAGTGTCTTAATATATAATGACAGTAAGTTTAGAAGAATAAAAAAGGAAGAGACATGAAAAGACTGAGGTACAGTGAGTAAGGTGAGGAAAAGAGGAAATCCAAAATGATTCCTAGATTTTGAACCTGCTTTAGTGCCAAAATATTGGTGATTAGCAATATTTGCTTTGAAATGGTTCAAAGGAGGAGGCAGTTTTAATTTTGGATTGTGTTACATTTGAAGTGGAGTGGGAAAATGCACACTGAAGTTTTCCATTGACATCTCAAAATACAGCTTTTGATGGAGATACATATTGGAAGCCATTTACATAGCATACTTTTATAGAGAGACAAGTAGGTTTTAGGTTTGAACTTGATCAGTTCTCAAAGAGAACACAAGGTTAATGACACACAGGTAGACAGGTTCATCTTGAACAGGAGGTGGAAGACTACTTGTACAGAACCATTTTTGGCTTCATGGTATGAACAGAAAATAAATGTCAGCAGAAATAGTCTACTCTCTGGGAAGAGGGCTCTACCTGTGCCTACAGCAGTTGATAGTGTGGGCAAGATTGCATGCAGGCCAGTGCCCAGTGCTTGTCTTCTGGACCCCTCCCTGTGTTGCCTTGAGTGAAGGGGAAGGTTGGATAGATAATAAGAAAGGAGTTTTGGTTAAACACATACAGAAATGTAGCCCTGCAGTGGAGGGGTGGAGTAGAATGGGAAAACTATTATCTGTTATGCTCATGCACAGAGGCTGGTATTTTACCTGTAATATTTCATCTAAGTTCACATTCGATGATTGTGAGGGTATTTGATGTGCTAGAAGTGATTAGTGAAATCAGGACCAGTGGAGAATGGAGTATGTTTGAAATCACCATTGTGCAATGTAGCTTGGAAAATGAGGCAGACTCTTTCCTTAGAAAATTGTTCCAATCTATTTAAAAAGGAAAGGTAAAATGTGTTACTTTCTGGCACTATTCTATAACCCATAACTGTTTTCTTTCTTCTCTTTGTAGGTTTGGAGATGTCTCTTTGCAAGAAAGTATTAATCAGGAAAACTTTGAACTTCTACAAGAATATTACAAGATATTTGTGGAAAAGATGCCTCCTGACTGTGAGTATGCAAGTTACAGAAGACAACAGTAATGTTTTCTTGATTATAAATCTTTAGAAGCTGTCATACATAGAGGTCAATGGACTAAAAAAGCATGGGGTGGGGATGCAAGAGCAATTTTAAAGTTATCTAAACCAAAAAGACTGATTGCGAAGGTGGCATGGGCAATACCTGGTCATTCTCTTGATTGCCCTCTTGAATGTGTCCTGCTGCTTATTCAGAGACAGTAATTTCATTGTCACTGGAGAATGCCAAATAATAATTAAAAAATGGACATTACTATTAGACATTTAATAGTCTGATAAAAATTTTGTATAATTCTTAACCATATAAAACACTCAAATGAAGATTTAAGTCTCCATTTATAAGCTACATAACACATAGGACACATATGCAAGAGAACACCAGATATGATACCAGTTCTACAAGGTAATATTAAGCACTTATTAAATATGTGTATTGCAATATTTTATGCAAAAAAAAAAAAGGTAAGGCACCCAAGCCTTTCAAAATGTGTTTTACACTTTTGGAATTTTTTTTTTTTTTTTTTTTTGGAGAGGGTCATCGCTCAATTCTACGTTTCTTTTCTTCATTGTATTAAGCACATAACATTTGAGCAGTCCAAAATCAGAGAGCTGGAAATATATTTGGAATTCGTCTATAAATAGTATAAATATGTTGAGATATTCATGATAATAAGAAGCTAAGTTTTAATAAAGTAGGAAAATTATAATATTTTAGCTAAAAGCTGTAATCAAAGTCTACTTGTTACTTCTTGTTGTGTAATCATGGGCAATTTGCTCACTGATTTATATTCTGTTATTTAGTGTGAAACATCTTAGGTGGCGGAGTGTTTATGTCTTTGTTACCTAATGAACATGTTATCAGAATATTGCTATGGCATATGCATGCCCATGTATAGATAGTTTAAAATGTCACTTGCAGTTTTTATATTATTATTTATTTTATTTTATTTCAAGTCAAATATTATTTTTTGCCAAAATGAATTTAAGTACATGGAGATTCTTTGGCAGCAAGCATACTTTGAATATGAAATTTGTTAATTACTCGAAAAGTTAACAAGGTAGGTAAAACTATTTTTTCTTTAGTAATTAAAGAAAAAATAGTTTACTGTAACTTGGATATTAATTTTTTTTTAACAAATTACTTATAATTTGGAAAAAAGTATCCAAATTTTTATCAGTAGCTTGATAAAAATTATATTTTTTAATATTCTTGAAAAGTGTATGTGGTCCCAGGCTAGCAGCATCAGCATCACCAGGAAACCTGTTAGCAATGCAAATTCTTAGGCCCCACTGTGAATCTACTAAACTCTCAGAGTCTGCATTTTCATAGGCCTTTGAGGTGACTTCTGATTCATGCAAATGCTTGAGAACTAATGATATGCCATCCTTACACAAAACATATATTACAAAGTGGATTGTTGGCAAAGTCTGTGAAGGCTTTCAGTACTATGCTTAAAACAATCATTTTGCTAAAGAAATATGTGTAAATACTGTTGAAATATTACCTGAGTTATGAAATACAAAGTAATTCTATATTCAAGTAACTTAAACTCTTCATAGGAATATACATTTAAAAAATTTTAGCCCAGGCAACATGGTGAAACTTCATCTCTACAAAAAATATAAAAATTAGCCAAGCATGGGGCGTGTGCCTGTGGTCCTAACTACTCAGGAGGCTGAGGGGTGAGAGGATCACTTGAGCCTGAGAGACAGAGGCTGCAGTGAGCCAAGATTGCGCCACTGCACTTCAGCCTGGGTGACATAGTGAGACTCTGTCTCGAAAATAACAACATGAGACTCTATATAGTGCTAATCAAATAGAAACAAGTATTTTTCAAAACATGTAAATATATTTTTCTACTTGGAAAGCGAGATGGAATTTTGCATAAAACCAATTGGATTTCATTGCTCACACAGTTGTCTGAACATACTGGATTTTTTTCTGATATTTTAGTTCCTGTATTTTTGAAACAACTGTATTTGGTACAGAATAGCAGTGTAGTATGGCTGTGGTTGTGCTCCATAAGAGAAGTACAAATCCACTGTATACAGTTATCATGACATATGGGTTTATTCTTCGTGTAGACATTGCAAGCCAAAGCATGATTTGAGTTGTGCTCTGTTTAAGGATAAAACCATAAAGCTTTTATAAGAGTATGAATAGAGGTTAGGCCATTTGCTAAGAATGAAAGAACTGTGCATGCTGGGTCATATTCATAATCCATATAATCTATTATTTTCCTTCTTTCATAGTGAAATCAAGGGGTAATTTATGTCAATGTTAAAGGATAGGTTAATTTCTTAAACATGTTACTTTCACTTTATTATGGATGTGCTGACTTTTAATTTAGTGATCCTCTTTTTAAATGATTTATGAATTAAATAGTTGAATTCTATCTATTTTTGAAGTAAAAAAAAAAAAAATGTTTCTTCTCCAAAGATTTTCTTAACCTTAAGGGATATCTGTGACTTTTGTTATATCAGGACTTAATGATAAACTAATTTATTCACTCCCAGTCAAGTAGCTCTCATCTTTTTACTCTTCTCATATAGAAACATTTATGGACTAAATATTCTCCCCAAATGTCTTCTAATTCTATTATATACGTAGCAATTTTAATATATAGTCTCAATTCAGCAATCTACAAACGTGAAATCATTTTATTTTAGTTAACTACTACCAGTTTTATGAAGCACTCATCAACCTTTAGAAGTTAGTAATTGGGGATTAGGGGTATGGATAATTAAAATTGCCAGTCAAGATGCCCTTTCAATATGTTTAGCATAGTCTAGTGTTTTTAGACTATTTAAAATCTCAGTTTAATTTGGAATAAATATTCAGCGAAATTCAGATATTATTATCCTCCACCCCCATCTTCCTTGCAACTGCAGTAAGGCCATTAGTGCAAGTCCTGGTAGGACAGGGAGGCTTCTATGTCTTTCTTTTGGATAATTTTATGGGCTCTAGAACTGGGATGTGCCTGTTACAGAGAAAGACGGCACGTATAAGGATCCCAAAAGTGAACAGTAAATCTTTCCTGTAAATCTTTGCTGAATCTTCAACTGCAGCAAGTAATATATTGTTGGTCCTCAGTATCCGTGTGTTCTGTGTCTGCAGATTCAATCAACCCAAGATCAAAACTATTTGAAAAAAATACAAATAAAAAATAGCTATGCAATGATAAAAATATTATTAAAAATTTTTATATATAGCATAACAACAATTTCTATTTCCATAGCATTTATATTGTATTAAGTATTATCAGTAATCTAGAGGTAATTTAAAGTGTAGGGGAGGATGTGCTTAGATTATAGGCAAACACTATATTGTTTTATTTAAGAAAATTGAGCATCCATGATTTCGGTATCTTCTGGAGTCTTGGATCTAATCCTTATTGGGTGCCAAGGGACAACTTACATATCTGTCAGATAGACAAAGCTATTGATGACTACTCTATCTGGGCACATGTATTGTGTGTTTCTGCCACCAAATCTCCGTTATATGTAATGCAGCTCCCAGACAGTTGTTCTTCTGCTGACTCTAAGGCACGAGAAATCTTCAGAAGTTACTTCCCCTCAAGCTCTAGCTGTGCTATTCCCTGGGCCCTTTGATCAATCTGGGAATTCCACTGTGGCAGTTATTAGTGGTTCTCCCTTTTTTTGCTCTAATCTTTCGGTTGGACTTGATGATCGCAGACATCCTTCACGTTCCCTTTTGTGCCTACCTAAAGCATTCAGACACTTAAATTTTGTGTTAGAAATAAAATAAAACAGTACTTCTGTAAATCGCTAGCACAAACTGCTCTGTGTATAGTCACCACTGCATCTCATACATGATTCAGGGCTTCTGGAAGAAGCAGATAAAGCCCCTTCTATCTTCTTCTTTCCTTTAAAAAAGGAGGGACCAACTATTAAAGTATTACAAGTAAATTATCTGTCATTTCTCTAATAATAATGCTCATATCTTTTGTGTTTTATCTGTAGCAAAGGAGAAGAATCTTGTCATACTGCTCTAATGAAACTGTACTGTAATGATGCCTGTGGTAGCACTGTATGGATGAGCTTACTAGCACTGCGAGCTAAGAAAGAAAAACAGGCAGGGCTTTTTTTTCTTTCTTTCTTTCTTTCTTTTTTTTTTTTTTTTTTTTTTTTTTTTTCGAGAAGGAGTCTTGCTCTGTTACCGAGGCTGGAGTGCAGTGGCGCAATCTCGGCCCACCACAACCTCCACCTCCTGGGTTCAAGCAATTCTCCTGCCTCAGCCTCCAGAGTAGCTGGGACTACAGGCATATACCACCATGCCCAGCTAATTTTTTGCAGTTTTTTAATAGAGATGGGGTTTCACCATATTAGCCAGGATGGTCTCGATCTCCTGACCTCGTGATCCAGCCATCTCAGCCTCCCAAAGTGCTGTGTTTTATATATAGTGTTTCAACAATTACATAATTAAGGATTGTATACAAAACAGTTTTTAGAAAAAATAGTTTAGTATTGTAATGAGGGTAAGTAGAATGTAGTTGTGTATGTGTATGCGTGTGTGTATGCACAATTTTTACTTTAAGCCTCACATTTAATTTAGCAAATATCGGTGAAGATAACAATATGTGGGAAAGTCTGTGCTATTCAGTTTGGATGATAAAAGATGAATAAGATGTAGTCTGTGCACTACTAGCTTTCAATTTAAATACTGAAGGTAATCAAAGAATAATCTACATTAAGGCTAAACCTCTTTCTGGAATAATAGTTGCTATTTTGGAGTGTTGATTTCTGTTTTGAAGAATTTAGCTTTGTTGTTGCTGCCGTTGTTCAAAAACTTTTACTTTCTACTGATTGCTTCTGACACTCATTGTATAGTTATGCATTGTCACAGATTTTATTTTTGCACCAGGAAAAATAAAACATCCTTTGCATTATTTATATTTATTAAAAAATAAGAAAATAAGATATAAATCCAATATTTGATAGGTAATTAACTTC